TTTAAAAGTTACTAAAATAAACTATTCTAAGTGCTTCTGTGCAGAGAAGCTTGCAGAAACAGGACAATGGATTCTGGAGAACTGCTGCTTAACATGAGTACATGAAAGAAGTTCAGAAACAGAAAGCAATTAAACCTTGTGTTTCTTTTAAACAAAAATCAAAATATGACACTTTCCCCCTTATCCCTTAGGGGAGTGAAAAATATATTTTTGCCTATATTCTCTTGGTTTTCTTGCCCATGCTGCTACAGCTGTAACTCTAGCAATGGGAACACTGGTCATCATACAACTGTTACAGCAAAGACAACCTGGGCTCTACCTGAGTGCCTGAAGAGTGTGGTGGAATCCAGCAAACAACGTGGCTTCAAAACAATCGTTCTGGTAATGTCAGAAGCTTTGCAACACGAGACATTTCACAGATACATTCTCCAGAGAGGGCTATATGAGCAGATAATGTGTTTCGCAGAGAGCTGATTGCAATAAAAATCTCCTGAAAGGCTCATCACAGAGCGTGCCGGAGCGGGGGCTGCAGATGTTCAGAGCCCATCCCGCTGCCGAGGACAGGACGTGCGCGGCAGAGCTCTGTCCCCTAGTGGGCACAGGGAGACTCTCCTTCACAGGTAGTGGAGGGGGAATCTCCTTCAAATACAACCGGGAAGGACTTATTTGGATATTAATGTATAATTCACATTTCCTTATTCGCGTCCCCCCACCATGGACAGCAACAGGCACAAGTAAATTATACAATTATTCATCTCTGTAGTTATGGGGAACTTTTCTCTCTCTCTTTTTTTTTTTTTTCCTGTCATGTGGATGTTTAAAAATGTTAGACATTTATTTTCTTTTTTTTTTTCAAAGACTGAACTCAGTTAATGTCATTATTGATTTGTCATTGATTTCACATAGAGCAGAGTAGTGTTAACTCACAGTTTTCCAAGTCACATGAAGAGGTCTGCTAATTGCTGAGAGCCTGGGATTGCCTGAATGATTTGTCCCAAGATCTGGAAAGCCAAAGAGCTATCAACAACCTTGAAAGCATACTACTGGTCTTCAGACTGGTGCATTTGTCTCTTGATTCTTTAGCAAAACCGTACAGAACATGTACATAAGGAGGCAGGAGAGGCTGTCTGTGCCAGTGGTCCAGAGGGCACCACGGCATCAGGAGCTTTGCTCCCAGGCAGGCAAAGGGGGCTGTCCTGGTCCTGCTTGATGGGCCTGCAAAGGACCTGTGCTTAAAAGCAAGACTTATGCGGCATTCCACTGGGTTGGATGCATCACTGACTGCTTTGTAACTGCACACGTCACCAGATTTAATTCCTGTACCCTTCCCACCACCGTGGCCTTGTCTGTTTGAGAGATCTCATGTTTAGCTCATTTCTACATCCATTAGAAAGCAGTAATCTACACAGCTTCTGTGAGGCTGTAGACCTGGAAGGAATGGACTGTGAAATGATCTCAGGTCTGTGCATGACACAACTGATTAGTATCCCCTTACGATGGAGGTGTGCTTCCTAGAGTCAGATCCATAGTCTACAGTCTAGGGAACTATGGATCCGTACTTAGCTCTGTTTTAGACAGAAGGATATACTGTGCTTTTTGATACCGGAGCTTAAGTCTGAACTGTCTGGTTGGATCTGAGGTGTCAAGGATACACCAGTGTGGGAGTACTCTTTAAAAATCCCCACAGAAGTGTGACACCAATATATGATTCCTGCCCACAGGTGGCACTCCGTCATGAGCCCTGGATGCTTGCTAAGTCATTTCATGAATTAGCAGATCTCCTTCAGTTATGAGAAAAATGTTTGCTTTGGTATTCTGTAATGACCTTTCCTTAAGGCTCTGCAGATCTGCAGAGTGGAATAAACTGAGCAAGACTCTTGGAAAGTACTGTCTATTCTAGCACAAAACCTCAGATATGCTGAGCCTGACCCTATTCAAATCTTCCGTGCAAGCACAAGAGGTTTTAATGTTATTTTGACAGATGGATTCATGTCTGTTTCCATTCAAAAGTCAAGGGAGCATCTCTGTTTGAATTTGTGTCAGTAATCTATTTCCGGGTATTATTTATGTCTCCTGAAATAAAACAGTCACAATTCCTTGGATATATTTGGAGGATTGCGACAGTTTATGACCAAAATCTCCCTGAGATTTCCTACTGTAAACATCTCAGTAACGAAATGGAGAACATTAGGGCAATCCCAGAGAATGTCCCTATGTACTTCAGAACAACCACCAGCCTGGCAAGACACACTGACCTCCCACGTCACGAAGCTGTGATGCAGCTTGTCACATGATTTTCCTAGGAACAGGTATATTTTACATTATCTGTGAAAGATCCTTTAAGAAAATGACTGCACAGATCTGTTTGAAATAGAAAAAAAGCAGAAATATTTTTGATGGCCATATGATACAGTGGGGCTTTTCTCTAAAGAGCCTTTTAAATTGCTCTCAGGTCAGATGCTCCTCATGTGATGCAGCTAGGAAAAAACATGTGAAGGGGTATTCTGACTGAAAGCTGCAAGGAAGAAACACTCATGGACAAAGAGGTTGTAACAACTATTTGTCTTCCTAAACCCACTTTAGGGTGCAGAAAAGGAACACTGAGTTAAGCTAGATTTTTGCCTTTGAAAACTACAAAGGAGTCAGGCAGGATATGAATTCTCAGAAAGACAGCTGGGTTCCACATACCCACAGCCCCAGTGCCATCAGTTTGTGTACTTTCATGAAGGTTGCAGTACATGTAATTTTTCCTAAAACCCTTGGCTAGGTTGCACAAGACCTACACCTCTTTGCACTTATTCATCTGGGTGAGAGCAAAAGAGAGGATCTAGTGAGAATGTGGAAATAAACAATGAATTTACCTCTAAATTTCAGGCCAGAGACCGCTGTAGTTCATGTCAATGTAATCTTTTCCACAGCCCTTCATACAACAGAGCAGCACTTTTAAGAGATACAAAAAGGTGCAAGTTTAGCTTCTAAAGCTGCTGATAAAGGGCAACTGGGCTTGTAAAACCAGTTCCCACCCCTTCAGCCCCTAGAAGAAGAAGCCTAAGAACAATTTCCCTATCTCCTTCACAGATCAGGGGTTTTACTGGAAATGTGCATGTTGCTGGCTCAGTGATTACTCTGGGCAGGCTTAGCTAGACTGGTGAGGTGAAAAGCAGCACAGTTCAGACCATCAGTGCTTTGGCTTTGAAGTTGTAAAATGCTTTAACACAGAAAAATATTTTTACTATTATCCCAAATTTGTGTCAGATACGTAAGCTCCATGTAAAAGTAAAGAGGTGTAAAAAAACTGTTGGTTGTGGGTAAAGCTGAGTGCAACCAAAATTGCTCCTCCTCCTAATATTAAACTTAACAACCAGCTGAGCATACAAGGCATGAAGAATTAAATTAATCAGAGAAATTTCCACTTAAAAAATCTCCAGCTGGATCAAGTGTCCAGTGAAAAGGTATTCAACAGTTCAGCACAAAGACCAAAGGTAGACACGGTTTTGAGAGAAAAGTGTTAGAAAAGCTGTGACAATCTGCTAGTGAAGAACACAGCCAAGCACACAATTTATCAGTTTTCCCAGAGTGACTTTACCTTGGCAAAGGCCAGCTAGCCATGCTTGGATAGACAGCTCTCTGGGGCTCTGAAGAATTTTACATATAACTTATTTCTGTGTGCAGAGTAGTTCAGAATAAGGATTACAGGTATAAGGAAGGTGTATCACTTGTCACCAATATTGTGCAGGAAATTTTGGGAAAATGATGGCCAACTTAGATTTGGAATCTGCAAAAAATTCCATTTTCTCCAATGATATATAGTGGGGCAGTACACTTATGGTATCTCATGCCTCCTTCATTGCCATCTCACCCTTCGTTCCTTTTGTACGCAAGATCATCACAAATGGCATGGAGCAAAGAGGAGCGTGAAGCTCTGCTGCAAATATTCCCTGTGTTTGTGCCTGAGGTTCTTCCTTAAATGACAACAGCAGCAGAAGAAAATTGCCATGACTTCAGTTCGTGTCTCTGCCCCCACAGATGATGAGCAAGTGATACAGAACTGCCAGAATCTTAATTTTACTTGACTGATGCTTGATAAAGCAATGGGAACAGAGGCAGGAGTGGTATGCGTGCTGACTGAAGAGCAGTTTCATCTGTCTATGGAATTATCTTGCTTACCATCATGCTAATTTAAAAAAAAAATTAAACAAAAAGGCTTACATTCTGAAAATACAAACTTCTCACACCCATAGCAAATGTGAAATTGTAATTTTCTTTTATTCACCCCTCTATTCTAAAGGCTGAGCAGAGGTCAGACACAACTCTAGCAGAACTATTCTTTGACCATTTCCTCTGGCTTCTCTATTTAGTTCTCCACACTTCTACCTAATTATTATCCCTTCTAATTTCCATCAGGATCTGCACACTTGTGTAGCTTTTCATTTACTGAAGGAATGCTTTGATAAACATTAAGCCTTGCAGCAGCTGAAGGGACCCTACAAGAAGGGCAGAGAGGGACTTTTTGCAAGAGCGTGTAGTGACGGCACAAGGGGGAATGGATTCAAACTCAAAGAGGGCAGGTTTAGATTAAATATTAGGAGGAAGTTTTTTGCTGCGAGGGTGATGAGGCACTGGAACAGGCTGCCCAGAGAAGCTGTGGTTGCTCCATCCCTGGAAGTGTTCAACTGTTGGATGGGTTTTAGAGCAACGTGGCCTGGCGGAAGATGGCCCTTCCGATGACAGTGGGGGTTAGAACTGGATGACCTTTAAGGTCCCTTTCAAGCTAAACCACTCTAGGACTCCCCGTGACCCGAAGCCCGGGCACCGCCCGCACCCTCCCCACTATGGCGGCCCCGCCGCCGCCTCACACACCACCTCCCCGGCCAGCGAGTGCCGCCTTCCTATTGGCCGACCCTCCTCCCGTTCTCCTCTTCTATTGGAGGAGAGCGGCTCGTAGGCGGGGACACCCGCGGAACGACAGCCTCGTCGACCAATGGGCGAGCGCGGCCGTCCCTCCCGGCTGGCGCCGGGGCCGGGGCGCGGCGGAGCCAATGGGAGCGCTGGGGAGCGCGCGCCGGGTCGGGAGCAGGTAAACAGCGGGGCCGGCCGGGGAAGCGGGATCGGGATCGGGATCGGGATCGAGATGGGGATAGAGATGCGCCCCCGGGGGGATGCTGCGGGCTACGGCTGGGGCGGCACGGGCCGGGGCCTGTCGTTCGCGCGGGGTCTCGGCGTCGCCGCGTTCTATCTCTCTGTGTGTGTTTATACGTACATACGTATATTCTTATTTGGGTGTGTATTTCATATATGTATATATAAAAATATACATTTACACGTGTGGTTTTGTATATACATGCGTAAAATACATGTCCATTTATTTCTCCTGGGCGGTGGCGTCCCCGTCTTCCATCCCGGGTTTCGTTTGGAAACGAAAGGTGCCTCCGGCACACCTTCAGCGGCAGCAGCTTTTTAAGCCTTAGAAAGGAAACCTGGGGAGAAAGAGCATCTGCATGGGAGCAGGGTCTCCTCTGGCCTCCTGGCGGGGGGGTGTGCGTGGGGGCGGGGTGTTTTTTTTTTCCTTTTAAATGTAGGTGTGTGTTGTCCCTGTCTCCGGCCATGCGCTTGGATGAGCAGGGAAGCAGAGCCAGCCTCGGTGTGTCCCTGTGTGTCCTCTGCCAGCCCTCGGGGGAAAGCAGGGGCACCCAGGCTCTGTGCCAGCCGGGTAGGACGCAGGAACTCAGCCCCAGCACAGATGTCCTTGACTGTCCCCAGTGTGTCACCTCCAGCACCTGCTGGCTCCGATGTCCCCGGCAGGATTAGGACCAACGTGAGGAGCTGCTCCTGCATGTGAAGTCTGACCCAAGCTTTGGGGTTTTGCTGGTGAAAGTGTGTCTGCAGGGCTGTGGTGCCTTTATACTGTGGTGTGGAGTTGGCTGATAAGAGTACTTGGGCTCGATGCTGGCAAAATAATTCTTCTGACCCTCTTGGGGAGGGTCTGATTTCAGCTCTGCCAGCAAAATTGCCCTTTGGAGCTATGTGTTATGTCTTTCTTGTGAGACAAAAGAAAGCAGTGTTCAGCTAAAATGGAGAAAGAAAGCTACAAATCTTTACAACCTCCCATACTGTCTTCTGTGTTGTTATTGTTTGTGATCTGAGGCTGAAAGTGAGTTCTCTATAAGCCACTGAGACAGTGTGTTCCAAGTCCCCTGTCATTTTAGCAGCATGCCTGTTCTGGCTTTATTTATTGGCAAGAACCTGGTAATCTTTCCTCCTAATTTTGGCCCCACCACTTAGGATTTCTTAAGAGTTTTTTTCTCTTCCTATTTACCAACAGCAGTGATTGCTAGAGCCAAAACTTAGGAGAACGTCAGGCTGTCAGTGTCATTCCAAAGCTTTCTCTTGATCTAAATATAGCAAAGAAAAAACAATTCTCTTCATCTAATTGCCATCAAAGGGAACAATATTGTTTTCTTATATTGTATAAGCAGGAATTTTAGCTCTCGAGTGGATAAGTATTCTGAAAGCTATAGCAGCTGTTCTGTGCTGTATATTGTACTGGTATTATTTGTGACAGATGAAATGCAGAGCAAAGGATTTAGATTGTTTGCATCGTGAAAATAAAAGGCAAACTGAGGCTGCATCCTAAAGTTGGTGTGAACTGGCCCAGTTTCATCAAAATCCATAAAGCTGATTTACCGCAGTTGAGGAAAGAGGTCCCTTGCACAAAGGACATGTGGAGAGAATTGGTGACTCCTGCTTTCCTTCAGGCTTCACAAGACTGCTATAAAGCAGGAGTAATTGTATTCCCACCTTGGCTACTCTGCAGCACTTACTACTGACCTAGTTTTTGCCCTCTCTCATTTTTGCCACACAGTTTTGAGAGTTCAGTCTTTTGGCTCTTAAATGCTGTGTGATCTTTTGAATGGGATCTGGTGGTTTGAACCCATCTACAGAGGCGACGAGGAAAACTTTGCCTGACACAACCTACTGGGTCAGCTTGATGATGAGCTGGCACGTGTTGTTCAACTTCTTCATTTAATGTATTTGGTAGACCATGCTCTAAAGCTTTTTGTGGATATAGATACAGCTCACATTTCCCCCACACACTCCGGAAGCTCCTTCTGCTGCCTCAGCCAGAAAGGAAGTGTACTTGTCTCAGTGCTCCGTGTTTTCCGTTCCTGAACTGTTCTTTCCCTTTTTCAGCTTAGCCTAGGAAACATAGCTAGTATGCACAGATGTATTTGCTGTGCATGAGTCAGTAAGAAGGTTCCTGTGCTTTCCATTATGGGGTATCCAGCATAGTTTTGACAGGTAGAAGTCATCTCCACGAGGCCTTTTCCCTTAGTTTAACTCGTGAAATGATACCAGAAAACAGTGTGGCTCTGTAACACCCCTTTCTTTGTTGCCTGGTGCTCTGTGGCTCCCTTTCTGTTTGGCAAGCAAGCCCCAGGGCGGAAGCTTTATCTTCTTTTGCTCTGCTCAGCCCAAAGGGTGCTATTGTGCTGGGTCCATGTGTGAGAGTCACCAGGCTGGTCCTTCTTCCCCTGAAGGACAGACTGCTTAAACCAAAGCTCTCTCTGGCAGCCAGCACAGCCTTGGTGCCAGTTCAAAGTGCAGGTCTGATGAATAAACAGTGGCATTAGGCAAAATCCCTTCTGGGTCCATGGTGGGACAGAGGGGGAGGACCAGTGTTCCTGCCTCCATAAACTGTATGTCCAAGGCTTCTGCTTAGCTGAGCCACACTGCCATAGGTGTTGCAGACCTGAGGGGAGGATGGGCTGCTTGTTTGGGAGCAGGCAGAAGGCTTGTCACCGTAAGGCTTGACCCTACTGGAAGGGGGATGGCACGATGCTCCCTTTTCCTCGTGTGGGCACTGCCACTCTGGGAGCTAGTCCTGCTGGGAACTCGCTCTGTGAAAGCAAAGGAAAACAGGTGCCTTACTATCTTTTCAAAAGTGCTAAACAGCTGATGAGCACCTGGTGTTGGTACCAGAGAGGCAGAGGGTGGTGGCATGACCCCTTTGGCAGGACCACATATTTATGGCAGTTTAAGGCAGCTGTGGGTACAGAGTCTGAGGATCTGTTGAGGGCTGGTTGCCACAAGAGCTCCTATAAAATTTTTGCAGTATGTTTGTGTCAACCCTCACTGAAACCACAGCCTTTTAAATAAGGGACAGTAAAGCTGTGTTCAGGCCTGCTTGCTGACCAAAAGTATCATTGCATCTTTGCATGTCCGTATCCTTGTGGAGGGAGAATAGCAGAAAATGTCCTTAAAGTTGGCTGTATTTCAACATGAGATTATTTTTTCCGTGCAATTACGAAGGTTAGTAATTGGCACCATCATTTTGCTATTGGTTTAACTCCTCCAGTGGGCATAACAAAGGTGTTGAAAGTAGGCTAATTGGCTGTCCCTTTAAAATTCTCTGCAGAATTTCTCTGTTCATGTAGCAAAAATTATTTCTTAAATACTGGGAGAAAAAGTTATTTAGTATTTTCATTGGGTTGTTAAAACCCAAATATTGGCCCCAAACTATCAGAGAGTAAGTCTTCATTTATTTGTTCCCTGGTCTCTGACACGGGTAGAAGGGGTTTAGAGTTATTTAAATTCCATAGGTCACAGATCCTGTGGCACGCATAACTTACCCTGTTCCTGATCCAGAAGTATGTCATGACTGAATGACTTTATATATCCGACTTCTTTAAAGACCTAAATCCGATAACTGAACCAGTCTAGTATCCCAGCTGTAAACTGAGAGCCCTCATGTGCTTAGCTGGAAGAGTGTGTTAAGCACCCAGAGTGGAGATTTTGGTCTCTGTGAGAAATAAGCCCACAAATGCAAGTGTTAAGCAGCTCACTCAGTAAGAACACAGGATTGCTATGAAGCTGACAGGCCCTTTGTGAGGGCTAGCCCTGCATTTATTTCCCATAACTTTACCACTTTTATCATCAAAAGAGGAATGAAATTATATGGAAAAGCAAGAGAAGGCAGGGCAGCAGCAGATGTCTGCAAAATGTTTCACTTGGGTAGATTGAGTTGATGTTCTAAAATTTCCTGAGGGTGCCAGATGTGTTGAGGAGGCT